GAGGACAAGGATTCTTTCACTGGATGCATGTTGTATAATCCCAACAATTAGCATAGTGCCTGGACATCTGGACATCTCTCCCTTTTTGTTGTATAAAATAATAGAGTTGCAGCTTGGATGACCAGTTACGTTTTGGGAGGGGGGGTGTTGGACAGTATACAGACTTCTTGGATGAGCTTGTTCTTAGAAATTCGGGGCTCATTACTGTTACAGTCTTTTGAAGAAATTTATTGTACTTTGAAAAAGAGAGTTGGGCATATCATAAGACTTTCACACCTTGATAGATAATTAGTTCACTTCAGATGAACAAACAACATCATCAAATGATATTTCTTGAATACATTGATTTCTGGAGTCCCTTTTAGCTCAACAAAATTATGGATAAGTGGATAACTTTAGGAAAAAGTACAATACCCAATGTGGCAGGGAGGTTTTCCAGTGATCCATAAAAAGAGTAGCACAAAGGAAAAAAAATCATAGTTATGAGACTTCTTGCCCCATCCTAAGCATCCCAGTTGTGATGATGTTCTATTGTTGCTTGCAGAAAAGAAAACATATTCCACAGTAGGGCTGGATGCCCATGTAGGCCAGTGGCCAGCACACGGAGAACAAGTTTTTCTGTACTACTTGCTGCAAGTAGCTTCTTTTACTCTAGTGAAAAAAAGCGCCACCTAGGTCAGAGTGTATAATCAGAGACAAGCTGCTTAGCAGCAATACAGGGAAAAGTACTTGTGTAACAAGTAATGACAATGAAAACTAGTGCTCATCTCTAGAAGGAAAGACCATAGCCACTCAGAGATCACAGGGAGCTTAATATGCTGTCTGTCACAGCCAAGCATTTACAAGCCAATGTTAGTATAAACAATGTGCTAAAGAAGAGTGTAAAACTGTACCTATTACATTAGATCTTGGGAAAAAGGATCTTGGGACAGAGGACAGATGTTGCCAAATCAAAAATTCAACTTTTGGATAAGTTATATTTTTCTTTTCTTTTTTATTGGGATTTTAATGTTGTGTGTAACTAAAAATACAGAAGGGTGAAAGAAGTTTTGTTCCTTAATAATATACTGAGAAAAATACATAATATGTAAAAAAGATTTAATGTGTATCTCTGATACTTCCTCCAAATGTGTACATTTGTAGGAACCAACGAACCAAGAAGGTAGACAGACTTGCAAGGCCTTCATTATCCGCTGCTATGAGAAGGCATCAAGTGGGCAGCCTAGATTTTCTGATACAATTATTCTGCTTTTTATCTCTTAAAACACATACAGCACAGACACACAAGAACACACACCCCCACACACATACGCCTCAAAAGTAATGTGAACATCCGTTAACACAGCTTTCTGTCTTCCAGTTGTCTACAACTAGAGCATAATCTTTCTAAATAAATTTGTCACTCTGCCATCCTCCTCAGATGGACTTAAGGTGGAGCAGTTAGTACCAAAAGCAACGTGCTGCATTCTGGAAGTTTCACCATTAGCCCAAGAGGGAAGAAAGAGTGACCTCCATGTCTATCCTAGAGGCTTCCTCACTGTGGGCCAGATTTATGTGTGTGCCATGAGCACGCCTGCTGCCCCGTCCTTCACCAGTTCTAGAGGAGTGAGCCATCTGCCAAACAGTATCCTTTAAAATTGTCCCCCTTTACGCGTACCCAAACCCTGATCCCATCTTACCAAACTCCATGCAGCGGGCTGGAAGGCTGACAATGGAGAGAGAGAGAGAGAGAGAGAGAGGGGAAGGGCTGTTTTGGATCGAGCTTGGCTTTTGTTTACATTGCATTACAATTCTTTTAAAAATTGGAGTTTTATGGTATTTATGAGTATTTTATTCATTGATTGATTTGAGGCAAAATTAACATGTCTTTGCTTCAACAATGGTTGTGTGAAATCAGCTCTGTCAAGGTATATCCCCCGTAAAGATTCCCATAAGTTAATACTCTACTTCTTTGGGATATAATTCTGAGTAAGTCAATTTATTTATGTCCACTTGTAGGCTTAGTTTATCTCACATTCACTTTATTACAGACATGTTTTAAATACAAGCTTGTAATTGAGTACCTGAGCAACTGTGAAGCCGATTTGCTATGTGCTGGTTACCAACTTATCTGAGTTTGGTGAGACAGAACCCTCATGCCCAGAAAGTTACGTGAAATGGATTTGTTAAGTACGATTGGCAGCAAGAGCCAACAGAAGCCTAGGATCCATTGTGAGCCAGTCCCCCAAAGCTTGAGAAAACTGCCTAGGGCAGATGGAGCCTCCTCTTTATGTGCTCCATTTGCACTGCAGCTTAGAGATTCTGAAAGGCAGCCCACCCTGGATTGTTTACTGCGGGGCCTTGTGAGCCGTACTAAAGCATTGAAGGACCTCCTATTTGGGGAAAGAAGGGCTGGCCAGAACAGAGAACAGATTGTTCTGGCCAGCTCCTTGCTAATTTTGGAATGTTGCATTCCCAGCACATACTACAGTTATTCTTGAAAACTAAAAGCCAAGAAAAAAAGGGAGAACTATCCAAAATCCCCGGAGAATGGTCCTGCAGCAACCACATCCCATTTTATAGACACCAATCTCATTTCTCTCCCATTGTGAGTAAGCAGGATTACAAGGTCTTAGAGCTTCAGAGCTTCTCCTCAATTTTGAGTATAGTATATTTTAGCATTCTCGGCCCTAGGATCCATGCTTCCCCCAAAATTCTGTATCCTGCCAGCCTTAATGCTGTGACTGTTAATATGCTGCATTTACTACGTATTATGCATTTATTCATTTCCTTAAAAAAATGAAACAGAACAAAATAAAACAAAAATGAACAAAACCCTTTTTGTTTATTGTGAAGCCCATATAGAGAAAATTTACAATAAAAAGAAATCCTCCAAACATCCTGCGCTTGGGATGAAATATACAGGTCAATGAATCATGGCAGGAGAACATTCATGTAACCGTAACAGAGGCCAAATAACACACTGCCAGAGCCTAGAGTCCCAACCCGCTGGTTGCGTCCTCTGGGTCACTCCTCTTTTATCCTAAGTTCGATCACAATAGTTCAGTTTTGCTTTTTTTTTTTTTTTAAACAAAATTTGCATTTTATTTAGATTGAAATAAACTATACAAAATTGGTTTTCTTCACCAAAAATAACAGCAATATTTTCCATATTTTTCTAGATAAACCACAACACTTATTTTTGTAGGTTTTCCAGGTT